CCCCCCCTGCCACAGGGTGCTTGGAGGGTCCCTGCAGCGCTGCAGCCAGCTGGAAAAAGGCAAAGGCCATGTAGAAATTCCAGTTCTCCGGCCGCTCCACTCCCGTGTGGCCACAGTACATCTGGGAATACTCCTCTGCTGTGGGGACTCCCAAGGGCCCCAAATCACACTTCCTCAAGCCTGGAAGGTGTGAAGAGGCAACAAGGAGTCAACAGTGAGGAGCTCAGAGGTTTCTGGGGATGGCATGAGGCTGGTGGCAGAGCCTTGTGGAGCAGCAGACTCCTGCCCCATCCAGCGCCTGCACTGCTGGCTCCATGCATACAATGGTTTTAGCACAGTCCATGTAGGTGAGGTGCAAACGGGGCAGTTTTCTGATGTTCCTCCAAAATGCTGGAATAATTTTCCTTTGGGTTTAACCTTAGATTTTTGGTTTTAACAAGTGTATAACTTTGTGGACAAACTCTTCTGGGCTGCCCTGGGTCACAGCTTTCCCACCCAGAAGAGCTCCCCAGCTTCACAGCTGAAGTGAGAGGGAAAATAATCCAAACTGATCTTTACACGCAGTTTTGTGAGCTGGGAAGCAAGGCCCTGTCATGACCACAAACAAAGGTCTATGCTCATGAACAGGGTGACAGCACCAACCAGGACAAATGGGGGCAGATATGAAACAAATTGGGGATGGGGTGTCCATGGTACAGTGATTACTGGATGTGCAGAAACATCTTTCCACCCTGGAGGGATGGAGGGTTCTTTAGGGAAGGGACAAAGGGCAGAGCAGGGAATATGGTATGAGAACCACAGCCCTTTCCAGCTGCAATGAACCCAACTATCAGCTGAGCTCTCTGTGCAGGAGCTGATCTGTTTCTGAACTCTAGTTCCTCTCTCTGTGTTTCAGATGTGGCTTTGCCCCTCTCTGTACCTCTCAGTGCACTAAAGTGAGGTGGCAGGAAGTAGGCCAGACAGTTATTCGCCAAATCAGAGATGGGATCTCCTAGAGCTGCAAGCTTCCAGCCAAGGACAGCAAGAACTTCTGGCCTGTCTGGATGAAAGACCAGGTTGTCCATCCTGCATGAGAGGGAAAATGAGATCAGAAAGGTCTCAAGACAGGGAAGACATATCCCAGTGCTCAGCAGCAGTAGGTGCTTTCAGTGCTCTTCTTCACTCTCTTCAAAAGTTGCTGAGTCCTTCAGGAGGCTGCACCAGTGAAACATTAATTTCTGCAGGCACAGGTCAGGGAGGACACAGATTGCTCAAGAGTGAACTCCCTGATTAATGATGAACTGAACTGAGCTGTGAAGAATGAAACCAAGTTATTCAGAGCCTCAGACCATTAGCAGATGTTACGACAGGCCAGCCAAAAAGCAAAGCAGGCAAATCACTGTCCAAGGGGATCTCCTGCTCATTTCCGAGGCACACAATAACTCCAAGCCCTGTGCTGACATGTGCATGATGATGTGTAGTAAAGGAGGAAATAGAGAGGGCACCATCCTGCCGGGGTGCAGAGAGCTTGGACTGGGTGTGATAACCTTTGTGGGATGGCCCAGAACTGGCAGGTGCCCGCAGCTGCAGCCTCACTGCCCTGGCAACCAGGCCCTGAGAGCACAGGAGCAGCTCTGAGCATCCCTCACCTCTGTCCCCAGCCACCACGCTCTGCACAGCTTCACCTGTAACACCTGTAAAACACAGGGTTTACCATGGATCCCACTGCATCTTGTCAGCCACCCAAGCACCAAACAGAAGGAACAAGATGCACCAAGAGCATTTCTGAAACAGTTGCAGAAACAGAAGAGCTGTTGATCCTCCAGTGTTCGAGCAGTGGTTGGGCAAAGAAACTCTGTAAGAGCCATGAGGCAACAAGATTGCAGTGACCCTCTAGAGCTCATTACCTGGGGGATGCTGATCTTGACCCAGAGCCCAGCTTTTGGACTGCTCTGAAGCTGCTGTGCCAGCCCAACTCAGCACCTCTCTGGTGTTTATATATTGCTTTACACCTTCTCTGGTGTTTATATATTGCTTTACACCTTCTCTGGTGTTTATATATTGCTTTACACCCTTTCTGGTGCCTGGGATGTGCTCCAGGGCAGTGCTGGCAGCCAAGCAGTACCTGAAATCACCGTGCACAACTGTTGTCTTCTGAGAGTCAGGGAGATGCAGAGGCAGCCACTCGATGAGTCTTTCCATGGCTGGGATAACACGAGTTTCTGTAGCTCGGTACTGCTTTGTCCAGGTCTCAACTTGCTGCTGAATGTAATTACCTGTAACAGAGGAATGAAGGCTCTGAGGGAAAGGGACTGGCACAAAGAGGCTGCAAAAGAGAGGCATAAAAGATGCATGAAGAAAAAGTCAAAGAGCTGAACAGATGCAGCACCCTGAAACAAGTTCCAAGTGTGTAACTGTGAGCTCTGGGGGTCTCATACATTCTTAACTGGGCACTGGATTTGATATTCTGGTGGAAATAATCAGATCCTCGACAGAAATGTGACTTCACCAACTCCAAGGAGCTGCGACAGCTCTGCAGAGACTGGAGGAGCTGAGGAAGTTTGCTCGGAGACAGCAGCAAAGACGTTACTCCTGCACCCACACGTAGCTCTTGCTCGTGGCAGGAAGCTCTGGGGACTACTAACAGGAAACAGACCTGGAGGATCTAAAGCAGCTCTCCCAGCACGCCTGAGCACTCAGACACCCTGCTGCCCATCTGCACTGTCCCAGCTGCCCCCAGGTTTGCCCCTTACCTGAGCCAATCCCTTCAAACACCGATACCCAGGGGAAGAAGACAGTGACAGAGGACACACAGGCTTCTCTCACCGTGCTCCCCGAGCTCCTCCAGCTTGGCTGCTCTGAAGTCTACGCTGTGGATCTTGGAGAGGACTTGGCTCATGGCAGCATAAAGAGCTCTCCTCTGGCAGGGCTGCAGCGCGGGGAGGGAGACGTCGCTGTAGACACGGCCAGCACAGTGCTCCATTAGGTAGAAAGGTGTCCCAAGGGTGCTGGGAGGCAAGGGGGAAGCCGTGGGGCTGCCTGCCAGCCCTCGATCTCACCTGCAGCTCGAACATGCCCCCTTCATGGCAAGGGGAAGAGCAGCCTCTGGAGCACTCACACGCGGCCAGGGTGGGCTCTGAGCTGGGTGTCAGACTGAACCCCCCCCATGGATGATGGACACATATTTCAGTGCAGTGCAGAGGCTTTAGGACTGCAGGCAGCAGGGATGCAAGTGGGGCTGTGCTGACTGCAGGCTGCACAAGGTGTCCTGGCTGCACGCTTGCTGCTGCCATGGCTGGAGATCTTGGGGCTGGCTGTTAGAAATAGCACCTCTTTATTGGAACCCTGAGTGTACTGAGTCAGTGGGAAGCCCTAAACATGGCTTTAGAGCTGCCTTTCAAAGACAGCACTTTGATTAACTGCTAAAATAGGACACACCTGACCCAAGCCAAATAAAAGTGTTACTGTTCTTTGAACTTCTAGAGGCTCCTCCAGCCTGAGACTGGGCAACCATTAATGAGACCAGTGCACTTCTCCAGGGCTGGCTCCTTTTTCTCTCCTCTCGTCTCCTCATCATTGGGGGAATCTGGCTGAAGTTTTCAAGCATGGAGTGAAAGGTGAGGGACAAGGTTACCTTCTGTCCTCACAGAGAGCAAGTACAGTGGGAACAGGAACACCAGCTTCAGCAAGGGCCTTCAGTAACCTGCCAGGGCGAGTCAGAGAGCTGTGTCAGCACAGACAGGCATTAGGGAATCAATACTAGAGCTGCAGTGTTGCCAGGCAGACACACAGTGTTAGAGTCCTGTGCTCACTTTTAAATACACTAAAATAACATGGCTGGAGGTAGGCAAAAGAAGCAAACCAGTATCTTCATGTGGCCCAGAGCCCCCAGACCTATCCAACCCACTCTGGAAAACCAAGGGGAGATCCCAGCTGCTCCCCCACAAATGTCCTGCTGGGATACAGAGCTGTGTGAAACAGGGGGGGCAGATGGGTGAGCTGGGTGTCTGCTGTGGAACAGGCTGGGATAGAGCATTGTCCCTAGGATGGGGTGGTTTGGGATCACAGGAGTCCCTCCTGCTCAGCTGGCGTGGGGAATAGAGCTGCCTTCTCACCTGTATTCCCTCCTGACAGCAGGGCCAGAGGGATGTGGGCTGTCAGGGGGCTCCTTCTTTAGCACTAGCAAGTGATCTCCAAACCTGACAGAATAGGTCCGCGTGGAGTGTCCGTGGCCAAACTGCCGTAACACTAATGGGCCTGCAGAGGGAGAGCAGGGGGTCAGCAGACAGAGCCGTGAGCTGGGGCTGTTCCTCACCACTTCCCCAGGTGGTACTTCTCCTTCCTGCAGTCAGGAACATACACCTTGCTCCGTGTCCCAAATCGCCGGGGAGAGTGGCAATAGCTCATAGATGGCTCACAGGCCAGGAGTGTTCCTGGCATCAATTTGGTAACTTGTGCTAAACCCCAGATGAGGAAATCCTAAACTGTTGTTTCCCATTGCTGGGATACAGTGACAGATCACTGAGTGGCTGTACTGTTTGCTTGGAGATAGGAGCCTTTCATTGATAGGATTTTTCAATCCATCTTTGGCATGAAAGGAAGAGCCAATGGCTGCAGAACATGTGAGCTTTGAGACTGAAGAGCAAGAAGCACTGTGATACCTGTGGTGTGGTCACCAAGAACATTCTCGAGGTACTTTTGCAGGTTGTCTTTTGGGATTTCCATGCTTGGTCTGACTGCACGAGTATATGGAACAAACCCTTGTAAAGGGAAACCCAGACATGCTTCCAGCTCTTTGAATGCTGCTTCTGGATCATCGACCTGAAAGAAGGAGGGAGAGAGTAACATTGACTGATAGTAGAAGATAAAATTGCCTGGGAAAGAAAGAGCTCTGCACACTTGCAGTGTGTTCATCTGTGAGTTCCATGGCACTGATCCACTAAGACACACAGGGACTCACGGGTCATTCCCTGCCAACACAGAGTGCTGTTGCCAACACTCACTGAGCCTCCACCTTGGTCGCTGTCCTGGAGACATACCTGTTATGGTGGTACAGGCACTGTGAGCTTGGGCTGGGTTAAGGGCTGGAATTCCCTGTGTGCAGTCCAGGGGAGCAGAGTAAACTCTTTCCATCAGTTCCATGCTTGTTCCTCCCCCAGTGGGAAGTGAAACCCCCCGTGCTCACCCTCTCCAGTCCTGGGGGTTAACCAGTCAGCCCCCAGCTGACAGATCCATGAAGCCTCAGAGCTTCTAGAAATCCATGAAATGTGTCTTATTTTCTCACATCAGCTTGTCTCAGCCATGTGGACAGGGCTCTTTCTCTAATAGGGAACTGAGATCCATAAAGGAGAAGTGACTTCTCCAAGGTTACACTGTCTGTAGGGTTTAGAACTCCGAATGAGACAGTGCAGCCTGCCAGGAATCCTCCCCTTTAACCCCACCACATCCTGCAGGAGTAAGTACAGGCTGAAACAAAAGGCTTGGCAACACAAGTCTGCCACTGCCAGTTGAAACCCCTGAGCCACTCAAGTCAAACACAGCTTCTGGACTCAAAAACCATAACCAAAGCCCACACTGGGTGCACTGCTTTGTACCTTCAGTGTTTTAATGCCAAGCTGGGCTGCTGCTTTTAGGTTCTGGCTGCTGTTGTCGAGGAAGATGGATTCCTGGGGCTGAACGCCCAAGCGCTCCAAGCACAGCTTGTAGATCCGAGGGTCTGCCTTGCCCATCCCTTCCCGACAGGATTCAACCATCTACAGCAACAGCAAATGGATTATGCATGAGCCTACTGTGACCACAGTCATCTGCAGGGCTGGAAATGGAGGATGGGAGGGTGGGAAAGAGACTGTCAGTCTAATTAGCATATGAAATAAAGGACATGGAGGGCTGACAGAGCTGCATAGGATGTGATTCCAGTGACAGCATGGGTGCCAAGTCCTTGGCTGTGACTCTGCCAGCTCAAATAAGCTAAACAGGATGAGCCAGTCTTCACATGGAAGATATCCAGTGAGATATCCAAAGATACCCAAAGATATCCAAAGATATCTGGATATCCCAGGCCATGCTGAACCAATTGCTCAGTGCTGTCCAAGAAAGCCTGGGATTGCACCACCTTCCAAATGATCTGGAAAAGTGATGTCCTGACCACTGCACCTATCGACCACACAGCAGCAGAGACTTTGACCGTAATCACCTGCTCAAATTGGGACCAAGGTATTGAGGCAGTCACTGCCCTCCCAACCATAACAAATTCAAGCAGTATTTCACTCTGGCAGTGACAGACACTCCAGGAATAGAAATGAATCTATTAGATAGATATAAAAGCCAATGCTAATGGAAATCCACATTCAATTAATTTCCCCCCACTAATTACTGTGCAGTGCTGTTGCCTGCTGTTATAGAAGAGCCACACTGTATGAGTGATGCCACCAGATAGGTGATGGTTATTAAAAGGCTTTGAAACAGGCTGGGATGAAAAGAAGTACCATGGAGCATCACAACAGAGCATCACTCTGCTACGAGAACTTCACAGGCATCAGTGTCACTGCTGAAATGCACAGAAAGCTGAGTCCATAATGATGTAATGTTGACAAGGTGACTCTTCTTTGCATGTTTTGTTGTCTTAAAGCTAGAAACCAAACTTATGTCACGAATAAACTCCTGAAACTCAAAGATGTGAGTTGGGGCACACAAAAAAAGCCGATTTCTGTCATGCAGAGCTGAGTCCTCATAGCTGCCTGTCAAAGTGAAGCCCCTTGAACCAGCCTCAAGGCTCACAGCTCATCTGCTTCATCTCTGCAGCAGGAAGCGTGCTGGGAGGGGGTCTCTGCCTGTTCAGCAGCTCAGGCAGATTGGCATGTTGGAGTCGTGGGATTCCAAATTCTTAGGGATGATACAAGCCTTAAAAGGACTAAATATAAAGCAGGCAGGAGCACTGGGTAATGACATGTATTGCTTGTATAGCATTCCAGCTCCTAAGCCCTTTATCAACATCACTCCCTACGCCTGTTACACATATCCTTGTGGCTGTTGGGCATTTTGCAAGGAATTTTCACATGCACAAGTACCTGCCCCTCGCTCAGACCCTCCTTAAGGCCCAGTCACTGCAATGAATTGTGCCAGGAAACATCCTCACTGGCAGTTCCATTTACATCTGCTAACACATGCTGCCGGCTGCCCTTCATTTGGTACCTGCATGTAAAGAATTCCAGTTGCTGCTTCCTATAGACTTACAGAAATACATTTTAGGATCCATCCAGGCTTACCACATCAAAGTGCTTTTGGTCTAGGGGCAGAAAGCTCTTCCCATTCAGCAGGCAGAAGTTGTCCATTAGAAGAGCTGTCTTAAGACCTTCTGCACGGATACACTGTACTGCTTCTGCCATTATGGGGAGCTGTTTTATCATCTCCTTTCTGATTAAGTCCGAGAGCAAAGAGTCCACTGGAACACAGACATTTGCCTAACAAAGCAGAGAAACACCAAGAATTAATTAGCCATAGATTGTTTGTAAGCAGGGAGGGAAATCAGAGTGCTTGGGTAGGTAGGTTGCCTGATCATCTTATCTTGGTGTCCTACTTCCTTTGGCAGCAGAAGGCAGGCAGTGAAGCTCCCAGCTAAATTGCTAAGACCAAATAAACCAGTGTTCTCACATTACTCATCCTACAGAAGCAGCAGCAGAGATCAAGGGCTGATGTGGGGAAAGAGCAAGGCACCAGGACTGTGCCTGCCATGGGATCAAGGCGGGTCAGAGGGAAATCCTGCTTTACATTCAGCAGGCAGGAAAGGAATCTGCACTGTAGACTGAGCTCTTTCAAAAAGACTTTATTCAAAAGAGGATTTCTAGAGCTGTGTTGAAGGGGCTTCTACTGATCTTAGCAACCATGGTCTCCATCCATTAAGAGTACCCATGTACGAAGTAACTGCAAAAGCCTTTCAGCTGGGTCCTGACTCTGAGTTCTCATCTCCACTGATTCTAGAGGTGTTGTGAAATAAAAACACTATGAAATGTGCAGGAAGGGGCTGGTGGAAGTGCAGGCAAATTCAGCTGCCCATCCTGCCTGGGTACCACAATGATGATGGCAGTGGAAGTCTGCCCTGATCAGGCAGCAATGCTTCCTAGATGCTAAAACCAGACCCTTCCATCAAAGGATTGCTTTTAAAAGCTCCTCTTTCTTCCCTTCTGGATCCCATTTCCCTGCCATCAGGAAGCACAAAGAGAGGAGGGGGATTTTGGCTTACAATCTCAAAGCACTGCCGTCCCAATTCCTGCAAAAACTCCACAGTTGTCAGCTCTCCTCTTGTGTACTTCAGAGAGAGACTGTTTTCCCCTCCAGAGAGTGCAGCCTGCTGGATGGTGCCGGCTGGAATACAATTCCGGGCCTCCCAGTCTACATGGAGAACATGAAGAAAGCCAGGGAAGAGCATGTATGGCATCATCAGAACCAGGAAATGAGCTTGAAATCCCTCTGAGGTCTGACACATCGACCAGCACTAATGAGAACTGACGTGCTGGACTGCTGTAATTTACCCATACACAGAGAAGGTTTGGACAGTCCCCCAGCTGAAGCACCTCACCTCTGTTTTCGGTGTGGTACCTTGGGGTGAAGGAGTGGAGTTCTTAAAGCGTGCCGAAGGGACCAGCACTGGGTGGTATTAGTGTCACTACAGGACAGTTCCATCACCAAATGGGTTCAGGCACTGACCTGGAGCCACCAACACTGTTGCTGGTCGCTGTTTGTTCTGATGACACAACAGGTTCCACCGTCACCACGGCAAGTTCTCGAGCATCTTACCAGAAACAGCGGCAACTGACAGGGTCCCCTGAAACCTACTTCCCCTCCATGCCTGGAAACAACAGGAGCAAATGAGAACACACACCCGTGGCTGTCTTGTAAGGGGATGGGAGGAGCACTCCGCCGGCGTCGCAGATCACGGCTCTGGAGGGGCCCCATCCAGATGGGCTCCGAGAGGCTGAGCCCCGCGGGCGCTGCCGCACCCCGGCACGCAGCAGGTACGGGGCAGCGCGGGCGATGCTCCCCAGGAACATCCTGTGGACCGTGATGAGGGTGTTAGGGGAAGCACAGCTGGTCCGTATGGACTGAGGGCAGAGGATCCAGGGTACAGAGCACTGAATTACAGGGGTAATTTATAGTTATTTATAACATTTATTCCTGAGCGTGAAGTGTCCCCCCGAATGCAGCTTTACACAGGGTCCTTACACCCTTCGCACGTACAGGCACAACACGATTTGACTATCACTCACACGCTACCGATTACCAACCACAGCAAACCTTTGCAAAGTGGCTGTTCCTGCTGCTCATCTATTGATCCAGCTCTCCAGGCAGTCAGTGCTGCTCAAACGATGCCGGGAGGGTTTCAAAGACATATTATAGAGGGTACAGGACCATAGAGGCTATATAGAGCATCTTGATTATCCAGGGTATCCTTTACCCTTGATGAACACCTCGATGCCATGAAGCAAGGCCCTTATTTCCGCAGCTTGGCTGTCTTTTAGTTTCTTTTACGTAACCGTGAGCCGTAGCACAGCCCGGCACAGCCCTGAGCAGCAACATTCCGGTGTGGCGAGTACGAGGCGAAAGGAGGAAGGGTTTTAACGCGTTAATTAATGTAGGGGGTGGTCTTCGGCCCAAGGGGATGGGTCCGAGCGCTCCATCGTGGCGCCATTGCCATGGTAACGGCGCCGCTGCTCCCTCGCCAGGCCGCGGCCCCCCGCTCTCGCGAGAACTCACCTCCAAGTCTCGCGAGAAGCAGCGGGGCACCGCTCGTAGCCCCC